CTCCCACCCCTGGTAACCAACAAAGAAAATTTCCTTCTATAGATAAACCTTTCCTTAACTTTTACAATAACGGACTAATACAGTATTTGTCCTTTTGTGATTGACTTATTTCACTCAGCATAATGTCCTTCAAGTTCATCCACGTTATGTGGTGTTTTGCAGATTGTACATTATTCTTTAGCATTGCATAGTATTCCATTGTGTGTATTTACCATAGTTTGGTTATCCATTCCTCAGTTGATGGCCATCTAGGTTGTTTCCATCTTTTGGCTATTGTAAATAGTGCTGCGATGAACATGGGTGTTCATATATCTGTTCTTGTCATGGCTATCACTTCTTTAGGGTATATACCTAGTAATACAATGGTTGGGTCATGCGGTATTTTTATTTCCAACTTTTGAAGGAATCGCCATACTGCTTTCCACAGTGGTTGTACCATTTTACAGTCCTACCAGCAGTGCATGAGAATCCCAATGTCTCCACAACCTTGCCAGCATTTGTTATTTTCTGTCTTGTTGAACTTTGCTACTAGTGCTGGAGCAAGATGGTACCTCATTGTTGTTTTGATTTTCATCTCTCTTATAGCTAATGATCGTGAGCATTTCTTCATATGTTTGTTGGCCACTTGACTATCCTCCTTGGTGAAGTGTCTATTCATGTCTTCTGCCCATTTTTTAATTGGATTGTTTGTCTTTTTGTTATTGAGGTGTTGGAGTTTTCTGTAAATTCTAGCCTTTGAATTTCTGAGGTAGTAAATCTCTACAGAAGCAGATTGACCCATCTTCCTTCTGCAGAGCAGCTAGTAGGTTTTACCTTCCACCTTCTGGTTAGCAGTCAGATGCTTTAGGCACTGCACCACCAGAGCTCCTTTAATAAAAAGAATAGTGCAAGTTAAAACCAAAGCCAAACCCATTGCCATCAACTTGATTCTGACTGATAGAGACCTTTAGGACAGTAATACTTCCCACAGGATTTCCAGGGCTGTAAATCTTTACAGAAACAGACTGCCTCATCTTTCTCCTGTGGTAGGTTCAAACCATTGACCTTTTGGTTAGCAGCTGAATGCTTTAACCAGTGCGCCACCAGAGCTCATTTAATTAATGCAAGTTAAATGAGTATTAATTCATGGTTGGTGATAAACTAAACAATTTACGTAGTAAAGTTTCAAAGACTATTTTGAATTTCTCATTTAAAGAATCTTTTATTTGGCAATATGAAAATAATATTCTGTGTCTTTGTGATTTAAGATAAAGTTGAGAAAATATCTGGGGGCTATTGTGATAATTCACCTTCTGGCTACAAAAAATTGTTTAGTCATTAGCCACCTTAAAGGAATTTGAAATTAGAAGAACTTTGTTTTTTCAAAAACACACTTTTCAAATATACCAGTTTTGCATTTTTTCATGTTAGTATTTAAAGAATGAAATGTTTTCAATATGTTATTTATTTACTTCTAATTGTATCTTTTCAGGGGAATTCCTGATAGGTCTGAAGACACTGAATTGTTTTCTCGACCATCAGAAGTTAGTGAAGCTTTGTTCCAGGCAACCTCAGAAGCAGCTTCAGACTTAGTTAACAGCTGCTTTAGTGTATCTCAGCACCCTCTTATAGGTGGTACAGTTGTAGAGTCTCCGCACTCTCTTCTACTTCCTCAACAAGAGAATGATGAAGAGGCCATTTCATCTGATACAGCTGATGAACTGAAAACCCCCAAAGAGTCAGAGAGTTATGATGTTCTTTGTTCATATATGTCATTGAAGACACAAGAAGTTGTGCAGCAGCCAGAAACCAGTTTAGCTGATAAAGATCAAGTTTCTTTTTCAAGTTCATCTGATATAAGTGATGAAAACATAACTACCCAAGGAAGTGATATCTTTGATGCTTCTTGTTCATATATGCAGTGTGGGAAACAGGAAGCTTTTCAGCCAACAGAAACATGTTTCAACAATATGGACCATGATTCCTTTTCAGATTCATCTGATACAATTGATGAAAATGAAATTTCCAAAGAAAGTAACACTTTTGGTGTCCCTTGTTCATATATGCCATGGTGGAAACATGGAGCCTCACACCATCCGAAAGGATGTCCAGCCAGTATGGACCATGTTTCCTTTCCACATGAAGTTGCTTCTCATTTTAATAATAAAATGTTGAATTCTTTCTTGCACTGTTTGTTGGAAAGAAGAGGAGAAGAGGTTCCCTTGACATCTGATAGCCATTATTTTGAGAGTGCTTCTTTAAGGATTCCAGCTGAGAATGAGGCGAAACAAAAACTGGATTATTTGGAGGGTCATGAGAAAAGTGAAGATCAGGAGGAAGAATTATCTCAACATTTTGAACAAAAGGTGACTAGAAATAACTTACTATCTTCAGAGATACAGCATACTGGGAATGTTGTTGTTCCTGATAATTCTGTAAAAGTTTCAGAAACATATATACTCTCCAAGGAATATACCTCTGAAATAGAAGTTTCTGGTGGTCCTGTTCAGACTGTTAAATCCAACTTGGGTGAGATAACAGAGCAACAGTATATTCAAGAGCTAAAAATCCAAAAGGAAACCTCTACTTTTGGTGGAAAAAGTGTTGATGCCACTGAAAATGTAGCCTTTGAAGCTGTTATTGCCTCTATTGAGCCATCAAAGAAAGAGAATACAATAAATGAAATCCAAACTGATATCAATAAATTTTTAACAAAAGACAGCCAAGAAAGAAAACCAAAAAATCTTTCCCTATCAATTTATAATAATGAAAAATCTTTACTCGATCAGCTTAGTCATCCACGCTATCAGTCCACTCCTGGAGTATTTGAACCAGCAGCTTCAGAACCATTGTTGCATAGAAAAGGTGTTGATGATAGTTCCCTGTACTGGAATCTTGATTCACAATCACACTCTAATGCTCCTCAGGAAATGCTCACTCCAGAGTTTAAGTCATCTCCTTTTAGTGAAAAATCTTTTCACAAACAGACTGTTGGTGTTGACAAAACACAGCCAGCTTTAATTCAGGTTGACATTGGCAATGAACCATTTCTTCCCATTGACAAGATAAAGTCTGTTCCTGCTCTTGATCTTGCAGAGAAGATAGAATATTCAACCACTGATCCAATGAAAGTATCAACTTCAGATTCTTTGGTTTTACAAGGATTAAAGGAACAAAGCTCTAAAGAAGTTGCAGATTCATCAAACTATATTTTGGGTAAGGATGTAAACTCTAGTAACTTTATTGCCAATCATTCTGCAGGTGTGGGAAGCAGCTATTCAGCAAACTTGGTGACAAGTCATGAAAAATCACAAGGTGCTTTACCATTGGCCAGTGACCATCACAAATTATAGTCTACCAAGAGACATTGCTGAAAGCTAACGTAGGCCGGGATGAAATTCCTCAGCCTGTGGAAGCCAAGTTCAGTTTTACTGTACATATATTTATGCAAAATGACTCATATTTTGTAGATCGCCTACTGGGGAAGGCTGAGTCTGACATCATTATTCGGGATAAAGATACTGAATGCCGTATGCATGATGAGCATACAGTTGTGGCCAATGAAGGAGTTGCTAAACTACTGAAAGAGGTGAGACACAATGAAAATGAGAGTTGGAAGAAACATGGTCTTCTCTTAATACTGTTTCAGGAAGTAGTTGTATTACTTGTTTTTATTTTTTTCTGTTTGCCAGGCATGTGACCAAAGTGACTTGACTGTTGAGTACATTGAACTAGTAGCTGTAGAAAAATTGTTTGATAATCTAGAGATTTATAGGGTGCAGCTTTGCACTGGCAGCCTGCTTTTATTACTATCTATGGAAGATAGCAATTTTGAAGAGCCTATAAATTCTTTCTATTTGACTTTTCTTATGAGGTGGGGAAAAGAAAATTTTAGTTGAATAACGGGAATGAGTGTCAGTGGTCCATACATATCCTCTAGTACCAACTTGTAATTTGTTTTGTGTTACCCAGGAATATTCCCCCTTGATTTGTTAGAGGTTAGCATAAAAGAAATGTTTGTGTTTCATAGATCATAAGACTTAATGAGTTCTGTGATATCTTAGAAAAGGTATCCTCTGGAGCTTCAAGCCCTTTTGTTTGGAGGCATCTTTTTGCTCCTAAGGTGTGCCAGCAGAAATCTTTATGATATTAAGATTAAAAAAAAAAAAAAAATCCACTGCCATTGAGTTGATTCCAGCTCAAAACACCCTATAGAACAGACTACAACTGCCCCTGCAGGGTTTCTAAGGCTGTAAATCTTTACTGAAGCAGACTGCCTCATCTTTCTTCCAGGGAGCTGATGGGTTCGAATTGCCAGCCTTTTGGGTAACTTAAGCCACATGCTTTATTTTACCACTGTACCACCAGAGTTCCTTGTGTTAAGACTCATTTACATGATTGTGGGTTCCCGCCCCCGCTTGCCTTCAATGTACAGCCCTTAGACTAGGCCATGGAATAGTCCAAGTGTTTCTGTTTAGAAGGTTTGGAAAGATTTTACTTTGGAGGTATCTTGAAAAACCACTGTATTGTGCAGGAAGGACACTGCGATGCTTAATGCCAAAACTAGTTAGTGTCACCAAAGGGAACAACTAACACTTTCCGAATGAGGATCATACCCATATATATGTACACATTCTCTTCTACTCTCTATTTATATCATTCTTATCATTATGTGTGTACTAGAAAATGGTGACTCTGTGTATTGCAAAACTACTGTGTCTACCTTTCTTTTTTTTATTAGGATTTGGGTGAAGATTTACAGGGTAAATTCACTTTTCATACAGCAGTTCACATATACTTTGTCTCATGTCATTGACCAAAATTTACAATGCAGCAGCTCCCCTCCCACTTCCTCCCCATAGTTACCTCCTCCCAGTGTCCATCCCTTCATACTCTTCTGCACCCTGAGCTATCTCCCTGTGCATAAGCAGCCCTTCCTTCTCCCATGATTGTTCTCTCCAGGGCATGTGTCTACTTGAGGTGAATGTTTAACTCACATGCCTGTACTTTGTTTGGCTGGAAACCACAGTTGTGGGTTCAATTCCAGACCTGAAGGGCAGCTAGGGGCCATAGTCTCAGTGGTTACACCAGGCTCTATTGGACCAGCAAACCTGGTCCCCACCTTCTTTTTTTTTTTGCCTCCAAATGATTTTGAGTTTTGTTCCACATTGTTCTCCCTCTTTATGCAGGATCTCCTACATCCCTTCCAAGTGGATGGCAGTGGTAGCTGGGCACCATCTAGTTCTTCTGGTCTCATAGTTGTATAGGTTGCAGATCAGATGGTGTACCAGTCGCTAGGACTGATTGTTTCCATTAATTTTGGTTTTCTTCTTTCTTCTTGACGAGGAGAGACCCGTTGTTGCATCTAGATGGCAACTTCCTAGCTTTTAAGGTCCCAGTCGCTACTCGCCAAAGTAGGAGGTGGACCAGTGTTTTGTATAGTATGTTATGCCAATTGAGCTTGATGTCCCCTGCATGTGTCTACCTTTCTTATATGTAAAGCTGCCTTGCCTGGATCTTTGGGTCCATAGCTTTATTGCTTCTCTGGTGCCATTTCCATCCTCTTTCATCTGAATACTATCAACTCTGAGCTTAAATAGATCCTTATATCTAATTGTCCATTAATTACACTTAGATATAATATATGTGGTGTGCTTAATAGAAGGCCAGGCGCATAGTAGATACTCAGTAATATTACTTTGCTTTTTTGTTTTTATTTTCTCCCGTGTAAGATTGGTCATTGAAAAACCACTAGTTTAGGTTGCAAGCATATTTAGACCTTTTAATTTATTTAGACTGTTTATAAGAGAAAATGAACAAAGATACTGTGATCTACTTTACCTTTTAGTTATAATTTACCCACTTCATATAAAATTTAATGCAGAAAACCAGATTAGCTTTATTTTTTTCAATATTCTAAATAGCCATTGTTTAATTCTAATAACAGTGGGGATGAAAATGATAGCTAGTGCTTACACTCTGCTTGAATACTGTGTTAAGAAGTTTACAGTATACATCAATTCCTTTAATCTTTTGGCCAGGCCTATTAGGTAAGTATGTACTATTATCATCCCCATCTTACAACTGGGACTTAAGAGGGTTAAGGAACTTGCTCATTCAGCAAGTAAGGGAACCAGGATTTGAATCTAATCTTATTTGTGTACTTAACCACTGTACCATAAACTTCCTCCCTATTTAGCTAATTCTTTAGTGACAGCAAAACTGCACGCAGGCAAGCCAAAAATTTGCATTATTATGACAAGGGTGAAGGCTTGAAAGAGCTTGTTTAGTCAGTTTCCATAAGAATTAAAAAACAAAATTATGATCAATTTTAAAGTTAGAGTTTCTAATTGTTTTTATACTACTACTTATGTGACTTGCATTAACTTTTCTTGTAAATAAAATATATTTAAATAAATGAAGATATATATTCAGACATGAGGAACCAGTCCCTGGAACAGGACGTCATGCTTCGTAGAGAGTCAGCAAAAAAGAGGAAGATCCTCAGTGAGGTAGATTAACACAATGGCTGCAATGATAGGTTTAAAAAGAGCAATAGTTGTTAAGCTGGCAGAGAACTAGGCAGTATTTTGTTTTGCTGTACATAGGGTTGCTATGAGTTGGAACCATATGAATTGGCACCCAACAACAACGACAATTCAGTTAATAGTGATTCACTAAAATTAACTTTGAGCACTGTTCTAAATTTTGTCTACTCTTAACTATAGCCTTAAGTTTCTTCTTTCAGTCTAGGGAGAATGCTGCTACTGTTTCCTGTATTTTCCTTCACTCTTAGCTCTATCCAATGATCTTGAAGTTACTTAATGCCAATATTATTGTTGTTAGGTTCTGTTGAGTTGATTTTTGACTCATAGTGGCTCCGTGTGACAGAATAGAACTTCCTCATATGGTTTCCTAGGCTGTAATCTTTACAGAAGCAGATCACTAAGTTCTTTCTCTCGTGGAGTCATAGTGTGGATTCCAGCTGCCATCCTTTCGATTAGCAGCCAAGCAATTAGCCATTGTGCCACCAAAAGAAAATAGGCCAGTTCCATTGTGGTAAATTGTAGTCAGTGTCACAAGACAAAGTGTATGTGAGCTGCTGGATAAACAGTGAATTTGCTCTGTAAACTTTCACCCAAATCACAATCAAAATTTTAAAAAAAGAAAAAAGACCAAAGTCACTGCCGTTGGGTTGATTCTGACTCATAGCAACCCCCTTTGTTTTTCTGAGGCAGTAAATCTTATCAGAAGTAGATTGCCTTGTTTCCCTTCAGTGGAGTGGCTGGTAGGTTTGAACTGCCAACCTTCTGGTTAGTCGTCAAATGCCTTAGGTACTATGTCACCAGAGCTCCCTTGTTGTGCCACCAGGCTCCCTAAAGCCAATAAAAAAGTCAGATACAAAAGTAATTTTTTTAAAACATAATTCAACTTGCTCTCAGGGAGCTTGACTACTTAGATTTTCCTTCCTTCCTCCCATACATTAGTATATGAAATGGGGTAAAGTATCCCATTGCCGTGGATTCCATTCTACCTCAAAGGGACCCACATAAGGGCAGAGTAGAACTGCTCCATAGCGTTTTCAAAGCTGTAAATCTTTTTTTTTTGTTTTGTTTTATATTATATATATATATTTTTTTTTTTTCCCCAAAACTATAAATCTTTTTACAAGCAGACTGCATCTAAATGTGACAGAAAACTAGAAACTTTTCCCAAAGCTCTTCCATGTATACTAGAAGCAGGCCACAACCCAAAGGCAACTCCTCTTAACTATGTAGATGCTCACAGAATATTCCACCATGGTGGTGATGATTGTCTCATCATGGGGAATAACTATATACATCTGTCAAGCCACTTAAAACCACAGCCCAGCCAAGTTGACACACAACCCTAACTACCACAGTCTAAGATAGAGTTTCTGAACCTTAGGACTTTTCAATGCTATGGAATAGATAATTCTTTGTTGTGGGGGCTTTCTTTATGTACTATAAGATGTTTAGCAGCATCCTTGGCCTCTCTCTGCTAGATGCCAGTAACAACCCCTGTCATAAGATCTTCCTTATGGGAAAGGAGGCAAAGTGTCCCCCTAGTTGAGAACTATTGGTCTAGAGAAACCTGTATGGACTGTGGAAGTAGAATATTTATTTATTTCCACTCTCTGCATCCTTTCTGATATTAGTTCAACACTGCACACAGTGGGGGGGGGTCACTGTAATAAAAAATAGAGAAAAATTTATTTATTTATTTATTTTCCTGTCTTTTTTTTGTATGTGTGATTTGGGTGAAAGTTTACAGAGAAAATTGTTTTTCCATTCATATGCATTTTGTTTTGTGACATTCATTGCAATCCCCACAATGTAGCAGCACTCTTCCCACCTCCTCCCTGCGTGTACCATTTCCCTTCATCCTTCTTTCCTATCCCTTCCTCCCTTCTTAGCTTTGTTCCTGGGCAAGTGCTGCCCTTTTCATCTGGTATGGTTGATTATTTTAATGAGTGTGTACTTCCCTGGTGTTATTCACTGCATAGGCTTGTCTATTGTCCAGCTGAAAGTTGAGCAATGGAGGTGATTTCCAGGCTGAAGGGTGTCTAAGGGCCAAGATCTCAAGGGTTCCACCATTCTTCATCAGTAAGCCTGATCTGTTCTATGATTTTGAGGCTTGTTGTATATTTTTCTCCCACTCTATCAGGGACCTCCTATTGTTATCCCTTACAAGGCAGTCTGGCGTGGTAACCAGGCACCATCTAGTTCTTCTAGTATCAGGGTCATAGAGGCTGGAATTCACATGGCCCGTTAGCCCTTTGGACTGATTATTCTGATTGTTTTTTTTGTGTGTGTCTTTGATTTTCTTTCCTTTTTTTTTTTAATTGTGGGTGAAAATTTACAGAACAAGTTCATTTTTCATTCAACAGTTCATACACATTTTGTTTCATGATACAGATTGCAATCCCCATAACGTAACAGCTCTCTTTCCTGTGGTTACCCTTTCCCTGTGTCCTTTTCTGTGTGTTTTAGTTTAGTGCTGCTATAACAGAAATAGCACAAGTGGATGGCTTTAACAAACAGGAGTTTATTCTTTTTTAAAGTTTAGGAGGCTAGAAGTCCAAGTTCAAAGTGTCAGCTCTAAGGACTGGGTGAAAGTCCCTCGACCTTGGGCTTCAGCTCTGCCTCTTGCTTCCGACCCACTAAAACTGGAGGCTTCTCTTAACTCAGACAGCTGCTGACTGGTGGGGCTGCCAATCCCAAAGTCGACAAGTAAAATGACACAGTCCCAAAATTATCAAGCAACATGGCAAGCCACCGGTTCAAGTCCAGAAACAGTCTCAAGATTGGCAGACAACATGGCAGGCAACTGAGATAAAGACTCAGCCAAATGCAGGATCCAGATGTACTAAGAAGCTCAAGACCTTTCTCAAAGTGTTTTCTTATATACGGGAAGCTGACCACATTCGTAAGTCAGCTACTCAGCTGCTCATAGTAGATTCCACCATGGAGTTGATTACCAGTCTCATCATAAGGAATAACACAGCCAGCTGCTCAGCCACTCAAAACCAGACCCAGCCAAGTTGACAAATCACCTTACCTACCATACTATGCATTCCTGCCCTCTGAATTGTCTTCCTGTGCAGATGCAGCCTTCTGATATCCCATGGTTGGTTGTTCTAAGGCATGTACCTATCTGGTATAAAGGTTCATCTTGTCGGCTTATTGTTTGCTAGAAGCCACAGAAGTTCAGTTCCAGGCTTGAAGAGTCATAGTCTTGAGGATCTCATCAGTCTCTATCAGACCAGTAAGCCTGGTCCTTTTTATGATTTTGAATTTTGTTCCACATTTTTTCCCACTCTATCCAGGATCTCCTATTCTGATCCCTTTCTGAGTGACTGACAGTGGTAGCTGGGCACCATCTAGTTCTGGTCTTAAGGTCGTGGGGTTCACAGGGTCCATTAGTTCTTTGGACTAATTCTTTCCTGTGTCTTTGATTTTTCTTCACTCATCTTTGTTCTGGATAGGGAGAAACCAATAGTCAAATCTTAGATGGCCACTCACAAAAATTTATTCTTATGTGCATTAGACTCTTTCATGAGTGGGCATCATCGGAATTATCCTTTTAGGAAAATAAAGAGACTAAAAGTGATGTATTCTTTTGTCAGAGAGTATACTATGAATTTGGTGAAAAGTTGTGTACATTTATGTTTCTATTTTTTTTTCTGACAAGGATCTCTTGGGATCTGATAAAACTTTAGGAACTATCTTCTTTAGCAGTCAGCTAACTTCACAATCAGTTTCTATTCAACATTGCCTTTGTTTCAGAGGCATCCTGGTGGTGCAGTGGTTAAGTGTTCTGCTGCTAACTGACAGGTTGGTCATTTGAAGCCACCAGCCACTCTGGAAGAAAAGGCCTGTTGATCTCCTTCCATAAAGATTACAGCATAGGATACCCTATGGGACAGTTGTATTCTGTTCTATAGGGTCACATATGATTCAGAATCTATTCAGTGGTACACAATACCACCACCACTATTAATTCAAGAAATTTGAGGGCAAATACATTTTTGGTAACCGATCACAGATAGAGTTCCATGATGCTATTATTTTTTTTCATTAACATTTCTAGAAAGTGTTTCTGTTCTGTCTTTCCTCCTTACCCGTTTCCTCCTAATAGCATACCCCTTTCTCTGGGGCAGGAAAAAGAAGAAAAAGAGCATGACGGGAATGATACTATAGTTTATATCCTTCAATAATCATAGTATTATAAGGAGCAAACTTCTGAGTAAAAACACTTTAAACCTACAGTCTGAACTATTTATACTATATAGCCAGCCTTCTAGGAACCCTGAAGAATTTATACACCTTTCATGGAATTAACCAAAAATGATCCGACTGATAGATGAATTCAGGAGACTTGAGTATATCATGTTAACTGGTATAAGTGTACAATATTTATTTTCATAAAAAGGAGGGTTGTTTTGAAGCAGCTGGAGTCTGAAATTAATATTTTGTTTCCATTCCATTTTTCATAGGTAGGTCACTCTAATTTGGACATTAATCGGTCTTTTCCATCTACATTACCTCCATTTGTTACTCATGGAGCAGCCAGAGAGCCAGCATATCACTCATCAGATCTCAGAATGTTGAGAGTGTCTCCTGAGACTGTGCCAAAGACTCTCAGACATTTAGCAGGTATGTGGAAAAAGGAGGTAATAAATGTCTTTCTTAGGGCAGCTAGATTGTTAAAAAAAATATCTTGCTATGCTAACTAATTTTTTATTTTTAGACTCCTGAAGTAATGTTAATTCTTTGGATTATATGTGTTTATAAATACCCAGATTTCTTTTGATTAGATGAACTGATTTAATTTTTTATTGTATTCTCTATGACAATGTTTAAACATGAATTACATAGGGGAGTCTGATACTAGATTCAGTTTGTTGCTATTCCTTTCTATGACTCAGATGGATAAAGGAACTAATTTAATACCTGGAGAAAAGGACAAGAGTGGATGCAAATAAGTATTAGGCTAGGAAATAGAGAGAGCTTAGTCTTGAAGTAGAAAGCAGTGTTACCTCCTGAGGGAGATGTGTACTGGAGGTAAATTAGGGGGTTTGAAGCTTGGTGAAAGCTTAGAATTTATGTTGAAGTGAGTAGGAGATCCCACCGACCCGTAAGGATGAGTTAAAAGGATTAGCAGGTATTAGAGAGATGCAAATCAAAACAACAATGAGATACCATCTTGCTCCACCACTAGTAGCAAAGTTCAACAAGACAGAAAATAACAAATGCTGGCGAGGTTGTGGAGAGATTGGGACTCTCATACACTACTGGTG